ATTCGTTCACAATGGCTTCATAATCGTCGGATTTATTGTTTCCGAGAAATTTCAAACAAACTGCTTTAAATGAATTCCAGGCTGCTTTCTCTGTTTCATTTAGAGTTTTATCAAATTCCGAGTCTATCATAAGTTTACGGATTTGTGGTCCAATAAACACACCCCCTTTTATTTTTGCTTCACTTAATTCAGGAAATTTCGATTTTAGATATGCAAATGCTGGTCCATCCACGTTTAACCCTTTAACAAAATTTGTCATCAAACCTACCTTGATATGAAGTCCTGGTACTAAAACTTTCTCAGGGTCAACAAGTGGTTCATAAGCAATATTTTTCTGACCAGGCACATACTTCTGCCGCAAAGGCCATTCCTTCTTAATATAATGATTTTTTCTGTCGCGACTGTCCCATTCACATAAGAAGCAGCAATATTTAGTATACCCTTTTTGCATGCTAAGAAGAAATCCTATGACTTTGAAATCAGCACACAATAACCAGTTTTCGGCATTATATTTTATGCATTCCAAAATTAGCTTAATATTGTCATAGGATTCCTTCATACTACTCGTGTAAACTAAGGGAACACTTAGGAATCCATTTCCATTGTTTAAAAGAACCGTTTTTAAACCAGACTTTGAAGCATCAATGAACAAACGCCATTCTGATGGGTCATAGTTTCCTCCTAACTTCTGAATCAAACCCTTAGCATCAGCGCAAAATGTTAACCCATCTTTTTCTTAGAAAAAATCTTGCTTTCGACTGCGATGTCTAAAACACGACACGTTTACTGTTTTTTTAATAAATTCCACTGTTTTAACCGAGAAGCCATAATTTCAGATTGTCTTTGTGACAGCTCCATATCTTTTACAAGATCATTTAATTCGCTAGCATTCACAAGATGTGGATCAGATGTTGATGATTCAACAAAATCAGGATCAGTTCGCACTTCACATTCCATGTCTTCCACAAATTCATGAAATTCTTGTACTTCTTCTGATTCGATGTTTGCTGAACATAAAGACGGAATTGTAGGAATTGGTACGTCGTTACTATGTGGAATAGGGAGCTTTGCAGATGACAAATTAGGATATTCTATCAAGTGTCTTGTTCGAAAATTGAATCCGTTTATTCTGCATAAGCAAAAGTATCAATCCTGTAAGTGATCTTTTTGTTCACTCCATATCATTGGAATGACAAATGGCATTGATAACAGTTTTCCTTTTCTCCAAGCATTTAATGATGAGACACAAACACTACAAACACTATGAAGAACCCACAATTTATCGAGATTCTTCATCTCAAAATTAAAATATAAATTATAACAAGTTTTTACTAGTTCTGTTATGGGTTTTCTGCGATTTCTTGTAACTAACTGGCCACATATGTAACAAAACATATCAGTATTATTTACACATTTGCGAGGCATGACTGAACACTTTTTTAAAATATGAACTTATAACATCTGATTATAAGAAGTTGGTCAAATTGTTAACGAATTCATGAAAATCTTTCAAATATTAAATACAAAACACTCGGTCCTCCGAAATGGAAATTGCAAATCATAATGAAATGTCGACTTTAAAAGTCCATAAATACCCACTTTCATAAAAAAAATAATGTTTAAAAATTTTTTATTACTGATATTTTTTCAAATCTATTTTTCACGCTAATCCATTAAGTCCCAGGAAAAATAATGTTTTTAAATACTAAAAATCACAATTGATTCCTTCGAAAAAATAAGAAACTTTCTGCTTGAGATTTAATATGTTAATATTTTGAATTTTCTCCCACTGTTACCCCATTTCACGTTGCGATGCGAACTTCAAAAAAGAATAACTCATCGAAAAATAAATATTTTTAAAAGGTTCAAATTGGAGATTGTTGAGGAGGATATGAGCTTTCGAATGCATATCATAAGAACCCTAGAAAAATTTTTTGTACCCCGATAAAAAACTAAAAATACCTCAAAACGGCATTTTTCATGGTTTTACGATGCGACGCGAATTTCAAACAAAGATAACTCATCCAAAAATAAATATTTTTAAAAGTTCCAAATTGGAGATTGTTCAGGAGGATATAAGCTTTCGAACGCATACCATGAAAACCCTAGAAAAAATTGTTGTACTCTGATAAAAAACCAAAAAGTACCCCAAAAACGACCTTTTTTCAATTTTCAAGGTCAAATTTCTCGAAAACCTAGGGTGATGGAGCAATTCTGATTACGTATTCGGATTCAGCATCAAAAAACCTATCAAAATCACCCTATGCGATCCCAGAAATAAAAAAAAACTGAAATTCTGTTGCACTGTGTAATTATACTTTATCTCTATTATAATGAATTCATATTACATTGAAACAAACTTTAAAAAGTGTATTATTTTTTAACTGTTTTAAAAATTATTTTTATTTTTCAAAACAGTTAATTTTTTGAAAAATGTTTTACTATCAATACACAAACAACAAAAATTGAGACGCGGGTATCGTAGTAAATGTATTAGATAAATCTCGAACATAATTTAAAAATATAACGTACCAATTAATAAACCAACTCTCTATATAACTTTCTGTAATTATAAGCCACATGATTTTTAAAATAAATATTGGTTTAGCAACAGACAAACATATTAAGTGCAGTGTGTTCGTTCACCTTCTATTATCAAAGTTAAGCAAAGTAAAGGGCGGTTAATATTTTGTTAAGTGTCCGATTGGGAATATCGCTTTTTAGTGTATTTAATTAAAAAAAATTTCTGTACAATATCCTAAAATATTCTTTACATTTTACAAAACGCAGTTTCGCAATAAGCTGTATCCGCTAATCCGTTACAGTTTTGTAAAATCTGCTTTTATTTTTTCCGTGCACTTGTCCTAAAAATTTCAAGTCCTCATAACTCAGCCAAAAATATTTTTTGAAAAATAAGAAAATACATGTCTCTTTATTTGTACTAAAGAACAAGAAAAATCATATTAAACTTGATTTAAAATTTTTAACCTATTTGCCCTGAATGCATTTAAATAGAAACAGCCTATAATTACATAAAACTTATAAGCCATATTATAGAACTCTTTTCGTGGGTCGCACGTTGACCATTGGAATGTCCTATTTATAAAACATTTTTTTAGAAAATTTCAAATATCTTTTGGAATAAAATTCTTATAATTTCTATTTGTTAATTACGATTTTTAACAAGATTATTTTAAAATTTAGTTTAAAAAGGTGAATAATTTAGGGGAGAGGGCCCTAAGGTGGTCACCCATCTTTTGAACGACTGTAGATTTCAAATGGAATTATATATGAAGGTCAATAATACGGCGTTTGAAACTTTATCTTATTACCTAACTTCCTATCATAAAGTTTTTTTCATTTCATTAATAAAAAAAAAGTTATAGCACTTTTTAAAAAAGGTTGAAAATTCGACTTTTAAAAAAGTGGCCCAAAGTGGTCACCATACAAAAATTCACTAAAAAGTTTTTAAAAGATGTAAAAAACGTATTACTAAGTTGTTTATTTAATATTAATTGTTTTTCAGGATCACAGAAACATATTACATATTTTTTTTTGCACTTTGTCCTTTCGTCAAAAATGATACTTTTTGTGTATGTATTAGATAGATAAAATTTTGAAAATAATTCTATTTCATTATTATTCATTATAAAACTTAAAAATTAATAAAATTCACATTCACAGTGATAAATGTTGATAAATATGGCGTATAAACACATTTTCATAAAAAATCAAAAGTGACCACCTTGTGGCCAAAAAAATGTCCACCTTAGGGCCAAGACACAATTTTTTAAACGTTAATGAAAAAATTTTTTAAAGCACAATATTAATTATATTCACTTGGAATATTATTGTACGATATATAAAGATAATTATAACGATTTTTACTAATTTAAAATGGTTAATTTCGATGATTTTAACACCCTGAGAAAAAAATTTCTCGATCATTTAAAAACAGAAATTTTACGACGTTCACGTTACAAAGAGACTCATACGACTATTTACCTCAAAACTTTACTAAAATCTTTGTCTTCTCAAATAATAACAATAACAAAAAACATTTGAAGATACTAACTAATATACAAAAATTTTCTAAGGGTGACCACCTTAGGGCCCTGACCACATTGGGGCCCTCTCCCCTATACTTTTTATTACAGTTTTTTAACGAAATATCAAGTATTTTTTTTTAAATTAAAAAATTTTCATAAATTTTATTTTTTAATCTCATATCTAATGGATCGTCATTATGAAAATTAAACATTGTTAGCAAATTATTTTTTAATTTACCTTTATTAGAAAAAGAAATTGTTAGAAAATGACCTTAATTGAATAGAAGAAAATTAGAAAATCAGCTTAATTATAAAAAAGTTTTTTAAAAAATTCACCTTTATTAAAAAAAACATTTTAGAAAATAAAAAATTAGAAAATACGTTTGAGAAAAACTGTACCCCAATCGAAAATTGTTAGTAATGAAAAAACTGTTTTAAGGGTTAAGATGATGTCAAAGTCGATTGGATTTTTACATTGAACTTCAATGGGAAAATCGCACCGTTTTGACATCCCCTTAGGACCACCAGGCGTGTATAAAAAAGGCCAAATTTAGGCCATTTTATAATAAAAAGATTTGTTTAATATATTTTTTGATACATTTTGGAATATGTCATAAAGTACTGAATATGAAAATTTAATAGCTTTTAAAAACTTTTCCAAGTTATATCTTCATTTAAGAGGGAGTGACACCTTTGACCCAAAAAAAATTTTTTTTTGCTTAAGCGATACTTTATGATGTGTAGAATAGGAATGATTTTTTTCTTTTATCGTAGCAGCTCAAGAATATTGAAGACAGCTTAAAATTGCTCGAAAGGATGAAAATGAATCTGTTGTAGAAATTGTAGATTAACAGTGATTTTATTTTTTCATGTTTTTACATTTCAAAAGTTTAAATGCGTTTTTCTCGAAATGACATTTTTCAAAACGGTGAACAGTCTGGCTGTCTCGAACAGTTTTGATCGCATTGACTTCGGCCGAAGTTTTTTTTGTTCGTCATTTACTAATGCTTTAGAGTACATAGCGGATTTCTTTTTGGTTTGTTTTTTTTACAATAGATTTTTTGAAAAAATTTCGCCCTAAAAATTGACTTTTTCCTTTAAACAGCTGCCAAATACCCAAAAATTAATATTTTTAAAATATCCTACATACTGTAAAGCTAAATCTATCACAAATTCAGAGAAACTTTGAATTTTTTATTTAAATTAAACGGTCTATCCGGAATCTTCTCCCTGCAGTAGTGATGCATTACGAGCGAGTATCGTCTCGGCTAGAACAAAAATGACTTAAAATTGTATTTTCACAAGTAACCGCATTCCAGAACTAAGAAAAATTTAGATTTACAATTAGCGGCTTGAGGAAACACCTGAATAACAAGTTTGAAAAGAGTATGTAAAAATTTTAATCGTTAGCCATACTCAATTTGTCATTATTAATTATATCAATACCGACATTATAATATTCGTTTTCAGCGACCCCGAAAATCCCAGACTAACGATTTTTAAGCAAATCTTATAAATTTTTAATGTTTTTTGGCCATCATATCAGATCCGACATTTTTAATTTTTAAAAACTGAGTTCAAATTCGTAATCAGCAACACCGAAAACCCTCAAACAACGATTTTCAAGGAAATCCAAACTATTTTTTTTAAGTCTGCCATTTTTAAGTTTTTTTATGTATTTAATTTTTATGTAATTAGAGTCACTGAATTCAAATCAATAGTAAAAATATGTGAAAAGACTGTTTTAGACACAACAAGTAAGTAAATTCCCATGCAAATCAATTTGTCAGACTTCACCACCTTACCAGGCGTTTAAAAATACTAGCATCAAACTTTAGGTCCGACTACGTTTTTCTCTTTAGATACATCCTAAGGAAGAGAACCTACCATATGGCATACTTCACACTATACTCTGTCCAACGAGAGAATAACCTCTCAAAATGACGAGTTTTCGTCAATTTCGCGCAAGATATCATAAAAGTGATAGAGTTGGCGTGGCTTTCAAACTAGGGCCGCCTTTTTTGAAAAAAAAACCTTGGCTAGAACATATGGTTTAAATTGTCTCCTACGGTCCCTTTTCAGCTCGAGCGTTCGCAGGTCTACGTTTATGGAAGTTCTAATAAACAGCACGTTACAGTGTAATAAAAAATTATAAATTTGTTAATATAAATTTTTGTTGCACTTCTTTTTACAGTAAAGTTAGCATTTTTTGACATTTTATCACAGGACCGCAATTTAATTTTAAAATATCAGAGACAAACAACATACTGTTGGAATCAGAAAAAAATGAGGATTTTAAAAATAACATTAAAAATTTGGTAAGATCAAAATTGATAAATTTTGTACTTTATATAAAATCATTACCATTTGAAAGTCCCATTCAGGTATGAAGGTCATAAATTACCCTTTGGATCGTGTGGGCCCGAGTTCGAACGGGAAAGTCTGAGATTGAGAAGATTGTCATTGGCTATTTTCTAGCGAAAAAAATAGTGAGATGCCATTTTCAAGTTTTTCAACGCCCCAAAAGCAAAAAAAACTGCGCGATCGAGGTTATTCTCTCGTTGGACAGAGTATAGACATTTTTTTGAATGCCGGTGTAATCAGGCTATACTCTACCTACATACTAATGTCAAAAATCACCTATACCTAATTCGTAAATTTTAACCGAATATAATTTTTCTTTTTGGAAAATGCTAGGCTATAAATTTGTAAGAATACTGTGAATTTTTTAAATTTTCATTTGTTTACACGAATCATTAATTTATTATTATTGTTAATTAGTAACTTTTTACATATTGTACATACTTAGAAAGGAGGATATTTTCTTAATTTTGCAATTTACCAGACCTCATATAAATACCGATAAAGATTTAAAACATATTTATTATTTTAATAAGATTTAAATAAATTATTATTTGTATTCACTAACTATTTACGGAATAGTATTTATGTAAATTGGTAAATTAGTAAATTGCAAAATTAGGAAAAAGTGAATCTGTATAGGTAAATTCTGTAAGAAGTTACTATATAATACAAATTTATTTAAACAAAAGAAAATTTTTTTATAACTTTATCAAAATATATTCTTTTTTAAAAAAAATTTTAGTTTAAAGAAGATGTTGTTAAATTTTTAGAGGTCTAGGTTGATTGTGACAAAAGATATAAATAATTTTCTCTTTTCACATTTAACACTGTGGCTTATGGAGAATTGCATTTTCTTGGTCTTCAATGTCAAATTGTGAGAAATTTGACAAACAGATATTACTAAAACTGTTTATACTTAAAGTTAATTAACTAATACTCACTTATTTACAACAAAATTAATCAGACCTTACCTAGAAGTATAAAAATAGCGCGATATTTGAAAGTATAGAAATTAAAGCAAAAGTGTAAATCCAACGTTGCCAAGCGTTGCATTAGTACTACGTGGTTCAAATGAAAACTTAAATGGGCATTGCTTTGACTACCAATGTTAAGAGAGAACTTCCTTTTAAAATTAAGAGTACAACTATTGTTTAAACAATTTTTAAACAAATTATAATTCTTATTTAATAACCTTATCCAAAATTGTTTAAATTATAATTTTATTTTTAATGTACATCGGAATTTCAAAAACGTTTGGTAAATTTGCATGAATATTAAAAAACTGAATCTTTCGTTTAAGGGGGGGTAAGGTTTGTTTCGTCTAAAAAAAGACTTTTTTTCATGAATTTTTTTAGAAGAAATTATTGCTGTCGATTTATTTTACATATTATTATATGATAGTGTAATATTTGAAGAATCTTAAAAAAAATTTTGTTAAAAAATAGATAGAAATAACGAAGTTATTGCAGATCTCCGCAGGTGCCTAGAAAAAAAGTGTTTGTGCGGTGACCAGCCTACAGCATCACTGGATCAACTGAAACCAAAAAGTGAAAATGTTTTGTTTAGTTTATTACTTTATCTCTCAAGTGACGAAGAGTTTTTAAATTTTTTAAAATTATTAACAATTTTACAATAACAAATAGGTCGATTTTGTGTTCAAAAATCGTCATTTTTGCTTCAAAATGGTGTCAAAAATTGAAAAATTAAAAAAAAACTCTTCATCACTTGAGAGATAAAGTAATAAACTAAACAAAACATTTTCACTTATTGGTTTTAGTTGATCCAGTGATGCTGTAGGCTGGTCACCGCACAAACACTTTTTTTCTAGGCACCTGCGGAGATCTGCAATAACTTCGTTATTTCTATCTATTTTTTAACAAAATTTTTTTTAATATTTTTCAAATGTTACACTATCATATAATAATATGTAAAATAAATCGACAGCAATAATTTCTTCTAAAAAAATTCATGAAAAAAGGTCTTTTTTAGACGAAACAAACCTTACCCCTCCTTAAACAAATGAAAGTTTAAAAAATGCACAGTATTCTTATAAATTTATAGCCGAGCATTTTTCAAAAAGAAAAATTAAATTCATTTAAAATTTACGAATTATATAGGTGATTTGGAACATTAGTTTGTAGGTAGAGTATAGCCTGATAATGCGCTTCTAGCGGTTGCACGCAAGGACAAAAAATACAATATCTTAGAGAGGTTTAAAGCCTCCATAAATTTTTTTTTGTAAAATACTCGTAAATTAAGTAAGAATCGAATCATTATTACTAAAAAAGCAAATAATAATAAGAATTTCCTAAAAAATTAATTAAATTTCGTTTATTTCTCTTTGAGCTATAGCACTTCAAAATTTCAGAAAATAAAATTTTTAAAAACCTCTAAAATACAAAATTTTTCGAAACCGATTTTGAGATTTTTAATGACATATGTATTCCACAGCAAAATTTCGAAGTTTCAACAAAATCGAAGAAGTAGGGGACAACTTTGATTTTTTTAAGCATGGACTGACCCAGACGTTTATTATGCATAAGAGTTAAGGTTTAAGTAGCTATAAATAATCAAATTTAAACTCAAAATTGCTTTATCCGACATTAAGATAATTGTCTATTACAATATATTTGACTTATTATCTTTCTTATACAAAAAATTAAAGTACCTTAAAAATGACATAGTAGAATATTTAACAATTTCGAACCAAGTTATCTTACGAACCCTTCACTGTCACTGACCTCTATAGCGGCACAAAAATGTCGTTCCCTGTATGTCCATGACCGCTATAGCGTCGTCGAAAAAAACATTCAAAAGTTAACGAATTTGGCTAAAACTGCTTGCTCGGAGGTTTTCGGGTTCGCTGAATCCAAATCCGTAGCCGAAAATTCAAAATGGCGGCTTCAAAATAGCAACCAAAAAATTTTAAGTTAACGAATTCGTTAACTTTTAAATTTTATGTCACCATTTTGAATTTTCGACAGTGGATTTGGATTCAGTGACCCCAAAAACATACAATATGACAATGTCATGTTTTTTAAAAAAGAAATTTTTTTTGAACATTTATGGCACAAAAACTTCATTTTCACTGGACTGTGAAGGGGTTAAAGTAAAAAGAATAGAAAAATATTCATAAGGAGCGTTTGTTTTTTCGTCAAAAAGTTATTAAATTTTGTGACTATAATGTCAAAGAAGGCACGTTCGTATATGTTGCTTGGTTCACATTTCTTTCAACGATATAGGACTATAGCCTATGCCTCGTATGACGTATCGCATGCCTTATACACGTACATGAAGCTCATTTACAAAAAATACACATATGGTCATCATGTGCCACTCACATAACCGAAGAGAACACACACGCTTGCAATGCACGCCACAAAGCAGACCTGCGTGCCTGCGCTCTGGGTTTTGTCTTGGATAGGTCCAGGGCCCGCTTCAACCAATGACTACTCGTGAATTCGTGGCAAAGAATCCAAGCCGTCCAATCAGTGGGGCCCGTGCTACGGGTTACTGACCTAGCCAATGCGTTAAATATCCCATCCAGAAAAATATTGTACCTCTCACGCTCCCTTTCTCTTTCTTTCTCTCTCGTATCTTCTTCTTCTTTAACTTCTTCTTCTGCGCACTTTTTTCCCTCTCGCACTGTATAGATCCACGCATATATTGCACACTCGCTCCTTTGCTGTCTCTTTTTGACTCCCTTAAGTGTGCCTCTCTTTCCCAGGGAGAGATGCGGGCGCATTACCCCTTTGTTTGCTCGGCCACATTCGTTCGTTGCTTTGCAAAGCTAGCTATGCGGCAACCACGTTCGCAATGCCGGCTTCGTATTTCATTGATTAGTATTGCCTATTAAAAGGGAGCTTTTATTTCATCTACTGGTCTCACCGCGACTCCTGGTTACGTGGATATTATCCATTCCCTCTCTTTGCCTCCTTCTCCAACATTCAATATTTCACTCTCTACCACCGATCATATTATCCCTATAGCCATCCTAAACAATAAAAATATATATATTATATATTTTTTTCTATTATGTATTTTTCATTTTTTACATATATTATATATATTTATAAATATGCTTGATTCCACGTGAGATTATCTATCACATTATAAAATCGGTTAAATCTATTTTTTCTCGTTCTTTATGAAAAAATATGACAAACTTATTTTTTTATTTTTATATAATTGTCCAAATTTTTGAGTTATGAATTTTCGAAATTTTTTATTTTTAATAGAAAATTTTTTCTTTTTATTTTCAATAAACGTATAAAATTCTGAAAAAATGACACCTTAACAATAAAAAAATATTAATTTTTCAATAAGATATTTAAGAAAATCCCCATTTTCAGTGATTTGACTATAATATTTTTTATATCTTCTGAAAAAATTAACGTTTTTCAACGTTCATAGGCTCATTTTAATCGTATTTTTTGAAGAATTGAGATTTCTTACATGATTTTATCTACATAGGGGAGAGGGCCCCAAGGTGGTCAGGGCCCTAAGGTGGTCACCCTAAGAAAATTTTTGTATATTAGTTAGTATCTTCAAATGTTTTTTGTTATTGTTATTATTTGAGAAGACAAAGATTTTAGTAAAGTTTTGAGGTAAATAGTCGCATGAGTCTCTTTGTAACGTGAACGTCGTAAAATTTCTGTTTTTAAATGATCGAGAAATTTTTTTCTCAGGGTGTTAAAATCATCGAAATTAACCATTTTAAATTAGTAAAAATCGTTATAATTATCTTTATATATCGTACAATAATATTCCAAATGAATATAATTAATATTGTGCTTTAAAAAATTTTTTCATTAACGTTTAAAAAATTCTGTCTTGGCCCTAAGGTGGACACTTTTTTGGCCACAAGGTGGTCACTTTTGATTTTTTATGAAAATATGTTTATACGCCATATTTATCAACATTTATCACTGTGAATGTGAATTTTATCAATTTTTAAGTTTTATGATGAATAATAATAAAATAGAATTATTTTCAAAATTTTACCTATCTAATACATACACAAAAAGTATCATTTTTGACGAAAGGACAAAGTGCAAAAAAAATATGTAATATGTTTCTGTGATCCTGAAAAACAATTAATATTAAATAAACAACTTAGTAATACGTTTTTTACATTTTTTAAAAACTTTTTTAGTGAATTTTTGTATGGTGACCACCTTGGGGCCACTTTTTTAAAAGTCGAATTTTCAACTTTTTTTAAAAAGTGCCATAACTTTTTTTTTATTAATGAAATAAAAAAAACTTTATGATAGGAAGTTAGGTAATAAGATAAAGTTTCAAACGCCGTATTATTGACCTTTATATATAATTCCATTTGAAATCTACAGTCGTTCAAAAGATGGGTGACCACCTTAGGGCCCTCTCCCCTACATTTCTTTAGAAAATGCAAGTGATGAAAGTTGAAAGAAAAAATTATAAACACTTTGAAGGTACTTTTATAACTAAAAAATAATTTTTTAAAATCAAATATAAATCTCAGTTCTACAAAAAAATACTATTAAAATGAGCCTATGAACGTTGAAAAACGTTAATTTATTCGGAACAGATAAACAAATTAGTCAAGTCACTAAAAATGAGATTTTTCTTCATAACCAACATCTTTACACTGTAAGTCAAAATGTGTTCGAAAAAATTACATAGTTCAAACACTAACACACTTTTTAAGACAAACTACACGTAACAATTAACATATGTACATAAGCATAATTATTCTCAGAAAAAATAAGGGCAAACTCTATTAATAATAAAATTGACGGTCTTGGTTAAATAGTCCAGTTTCACAATAATCTTATAATGTCATTCAATAATGTATTTCTTTAATGAAATAAATATATAGTAAACTATGTAGCCCATTAATAAACCAATGCATACTCTCTAAATCTGAATTAGTAGAATTCTACTAAGAAATAGTAAAATTTTACTAATTTTTAGTAGTTTTCATGGAAGACTTTTCCCCTTTTCAATTGGTAGAATATTACTAATTTTTAGTAATATTTTACTAATGTTTTAGTAAAATTCCACTAATTGAAAGTAACTTTTTTACTAAATGAATTAGTGAAACTGTTTTATCGACTATTAATAAAACAGTTCTACTAATTGTTAGTAGAATTCTACTAATCAATTAGTAAAATCTACTAATAATTAGTAAAATTTCACTATTTGTTAGTAAAATTATTATACTAAATCATTTGGTGGAAGACTTTTCGTCATTTCATTAGTAACTTTCTACTAATTCAGATTTAGAGAGATAAGTTATGCACTTAAGTAAACTTCGGATACTTTTCACTTATACAATTTCATTATCCCTATTATTTCTAGATGTACTTCAGTGCATTATTTGCATGCATAATTTTTAGAGACATTTTAGAACAATTAAATTGTTGTGTAAATATTTTGAACAGTTTGCAATTTAGCTGATGTACAGTTGAGACGATGAGGCCACTAAGTGTGCCTAACCCTTGTGGACTTTTGTATCGATTACCCATCGGTTAAGTGAGGTTACTTGCCCTTCTACTCATTCTCTTTAATCCATCGCTTGTAATTTTTACGTAAATATTTTCACGTTAATTAGAGCGATCTCCCACACGTTGAATGATTATCGCGTCTTGCGGAATGTATATATGTGCAGTTATACTATATGAAAGCTCAACTTGTGCACTCAACGAAATTGGGAGGATAATGAAAGCAAGAAACAAAACCATACTCCATAGACAGGACAGTCTAATTATATTAACCAATTTTTAAAAGAAAACTTTTATCTTCTTGTTAAAGTAATAATGTAATTCGAAATTGAGTATCTACATGTGAGAACTTCTTAAGCGCGTGAACACGCTCAGCAAGTTAATCAGTGATCATTTTGAGTTTATAATTCTTCTCTGTACTCTACGAATCTCTGATCATCACTACATCATTTAAATATCTAAGAAAACAATATTATTACTTGTTAATTAAAATAATTAAAACATTAAAATTATTTTAGTAATAAATATTTGCAGGAACAAATTTTTAGATTTCGCTCAGATAGTCACTGAATGAAAGACCGTGACTGTTTTGGCACAAACCTGGCTAAAGGCCGAACAGTCCCCAACTTATGCCTGGGCTTACTTTATATAGCATGAATAGCGCCCAGATTCAATTTCCAAAAGGGTAGTGAATAAAAATTTGTTACTTACTTTCGTTTTCACATTTTAATAGTTCTGGCAATTATTTTAAAATAGCAAATTTTAAATTATGAGAAAATTAATAATTGTCAATTTATATAATGCACTTTTTCGTCAGCTTGAGTAAAGAAAGCTATATGCGCGAAGTACGCATGAGAAAGGTGCATATTACGATACCCTCAGGTCCAACCAATTTCACTTATCTGGCAACATCTATGGGATAACAACATTACCCTCTTTCCCTTGGCATATAACCGGGTACACTAATACTTTGCCATCTCTTCCGCTGGTCGTCGCATTTTCTGCGAACCGTGAAAGTTTTAGCAGCGACCTCGACCATATTCCTGAAATAAGAAGTAACTTAAATTTGTATGGAAACGAAAGCCTCTCGAGGCTGCATTCGAAATAGTTGAATTGAAAGAAAGAAAAAAATCAACAGGAAAAACGTAACAGTTCCTTGCACACAGCATTGACTTTGGAAATTCAATATTGTAGATCATGGAGCCGTAAAATTAACACCAACATTTCACAGATAATAATATACCCTATTCTTTTAAAATAATGCTTTTATTTTAAATGCTTTCCTTATTTGTGATATATGAATTAAAATGTGTTACAATTTTTTTGTCTTAGTCTACCAGAATTTAATTTAAAATATAATTATATACAAATGCCAAATATAAAAAACAATTCATTCACAGTTAATTAAAATAAATTTTTTGGACAAACAAAATAGCTTGCGGTTATATTTTTCAATATATAATAGTTTGACCATCAAAGAACCTTTCAGTCACAAAAACATAAATTAAGTGAAACACTGTAATTTAAAAATTGTTCATCGGGGAGAATAAATAAAGTATAGTGATGGTCGTGTGTCTAATGACAGCCATGCATATACACAAGTAACGCTTTATATAGACACATCCGTTGCAAGCCGCTTCACCATGCCGATTATTCACCTCAATACGAAGTCAGAGATATACACGTGGCTTAAATTGAAGCTGCTTTTTTATAACAGTATCTTAATGCTGGCTAATAATGCACCAGGTTGATGCTCATATACACTATATGTGTTCGTACGTTCATGCAATTATCGGTTAACACTGTTATATAGCGACGAAGACCTAATAAGAAAACGCTACTCGTATACCATATTTTTTTTTACTTTTCTTCCGAATGATGAGTTCGTTGCACCAATTTTCTAACGTGTTTATAAGATAAATGATGATTTAGACTGTACCCAGAAGTTACTTTTTTATAATTTCTTTCTTGAAACATTTTATGAAAAATAAGAACTTATTCATTTTAGAAAGCGTTCTATGTCCTTATGGTTTAATCATTTTCTCTTTTTACTTAATTACTTTTATTAATTATATATTACTGTAATATTATTAAATTCATTACTACAGTAGTTCTAGATAATTTGCAAAAACAATTTCATTCAGTATCAATTGTTGTTAGACGGAATTAAAATGATCTGCTTTAGAGGCTAATGTTGATAAGCCGCATAAATGATACCATAAATTATCAAAATAATTTGAAAAGAGTTAATTTTTTAACTAAAAGTCTGAGTATAAATTATTATCGTTTAGCAACAAATACTTGTTTATAAAAAACTACCCAAACAGCACTTAATATTATTAGAATACACAGATAATAATTGATTTGAATATTGCACTGATATTC